TGTTTATTTATTTTGAGAGAGGGAGAGTGTAGGAAGGGCAGAGAGAGAAGGAGAGAGAGAATTCCAAGCAGGCTCTATGCTGACAGGTCCAGGCAGGGCTCAAACTCACTGTAAGATCATGATCTAGGCCGAAATCAAGAACTGAACACTTAACCAACTAAGCCACCCACGTGCCCCATAATGATTATTTTCTGACTTCTCTATATTCTTAAAAATATAACTACATACCTAAAAGAAGTTTATAATCTTACATATATTTGAACTTTTAACAGAACTGTTTGCGAAAATGTGGCTGGTCTATGGAAATATATCCCTATAACTGGCAATGAATCTGGGACTAGAGCAGAATATTCATGGGGAAAAGTAAGAGCAAAAGGGGAAGGAAGATAAGAGGGTCTCCAAGTTCTGGAAACATGGCACTCTTTTCTGGCTACTGAAATTAGGTGTGTAATAGAAGGGAAATACAGTGACAAAGCACAAATATAGTTAAATGTGATTTTGTTAAAAGCCTAAGATATTTTCAATCCTGTCTGCTCTCACATTTCCTAATAACAAACTTTCAGGGTTTTAGTAATGGTATTCAATTAGAAGTGTACAGACACGTTATGATTATATGATATGGAAATTCAAGAGCAAGAATATAATAGGAGAATGAAATCTGGCCATTTGTAGCAACATGGATGGAACTTAAGGATGTTATGCTGAGCAAAATAAGTCAGGCAGAAAAGGAAAGATACCATACGTTTGCACATATAGGTTGATTAGGAGGAACTTAATGGAGGACCATGGGGGAAAAGAAGGAGAAAACTAGTTGGGGAGAGGGAGGGAGGCAAACCATGAGAGACTCTTGAATGCTGAGAACAAACTGAGGGCTGCTGGGGGTGGGGGAGAGGGGAAAGGGGGTGATGGGCATGGGGGAGGGCACTTGTTGGGATGAGCACTGGGTGTTATATGGAAACCAACTTGACAATAAACTAAGAAAAAAAAGAAAATAATAGGAATGACAATATCATATGGACACAGATTAAGGCTTTCAAGAATGTCTATTTTACATTATTTTTGAATTTGCTCTATTGCTCTTTTCCTGAAGTTGAAACTCATCTCCCTGATTATTAAACTTATTTTTATACATTGAAAGTAAAAAATTTCCCTATTAATTTGTTTTTCCTATATCTCACAATTGTTAGTAGTGTTTGTATTGCAATTCAGTTCAAAAATATTTAAATTCCCCTTTATACTATCTTTGACTTAAGAATCATTTAGAAGTACTTAATTTTAAAAATATTTATATAATACATTTTGGATATGTTTTTAGTTGTCACTCCCAAATTTTGTTGTGTTTTGATGATACCAATCCTTTGGTTTTGTTGAAGTTTCCTTTATGGCCAAGTACTGTGACCAACTAGTTTTAAAAATGTTTTAATGTTTGGGGCGCCTGGGTGGCTTAGTCGGTTAAGCGTCCGACTTTCGCTTAGGTCATGATCTCGCGGTTCGTGGGTTCGAGCCCCGCATCGGGCTCTGTGCTGACTGCCAGCTCAGAGCCTGGAGCCTGTTTCAGTCTGTGACTCCCTCTGACTCTCCCCTGCTCACGCTGTCTCTCTCTCTCCTAGAAATAAATAAAAATATTTTAAAAAATGTTTTAATGTTTATTTTTGAGAGAGAGAGACAGAAAGAGACAGAGCATGAGCAGTGGTAGGGGCTGAGAGGGAGACATAGAATCTGAAGCAGATCCAGGCTCTGATCTGTCAGCAGGGAGCCCCCAGGGAGCCCCATGCGGGTCTCTCGAAGTCACAAATCAGGAGATCATGACCTGAGCCGCAGTCGGATGCTCAACTGACTGAGCCACGCAGGCACCCCCATAACCAAATATTTTTAAATGTTTCTTGAGTGCATGAAGCCTGAAAGTTATACTGGGTGGCCCACTTGGGAGGGGGCTATAGGACTGAGAGTCACCTACTATTTCTGTTGAGGAACATAGGTTTATAAGTCTTTTTTTCTTACCAATAACACTATAATAAAACACCAGTAACTGAAAAAAAAGAATGTCTACTTTACCTGGATAATTAATATTTCAGGATTATAACTCCTGGAGATCTGCTATGCTCTCCTATTCCCTGTAATGTTTATTTTCTGGGATGATTCGTGCATCTTTACTTTTACCTTTCTCTTACTATTCATTATAGAGCCTTAAATTCAATAGCCAGAAATGGACATATTCAGAAGCCCCCAAAGCCTTTTTTTTTTTTTTTAAATTAGAGGTAACTAACATACAGATTATTCATTTTGCTTAAGGTGTCATTTTCCTTTATAAAATTATTGAGCTTCAAAGGAGACTATAACCTGTTTGTCTTCATTTTTTATGCATAAAGATTTCATTAAAACACGGTCAAAAAGTCAAAGCACTGCTTAAAACTCTGCATGACTTCTTATGAGATAAAAAATAAAATGCTTTTCATGGCCAATAAGCACACGCCAAGCCGGCCCCTAATATTCTCTTTTCCTGTTTCCCTCTTGCCTATGCTCCAGCTGTATTATCTATTATTGTTGAGGCCCATTTTTTTCAAAATAATTTTCCTGAAATCAATAACACATCTATTGTCATTCTGTTGCCCACAGTGTTCTGTATTTAACCTTCATAAGATTGATCACAGTGCATAATTATTTTTGAGATTTGAATGATGACTGAATTCCACTAAAATATTAAGACCCCAAATGGTACACAATGACTCCTAATAGCCAATAACAAGTTTAAAGTGGATATGCTGTAATAATTTCACAACAGTTTAACCAAATCTAGTATACCTTCAAAGACTGTAGAAATTTCCCAATAATGAAAATAGGTCATCAAAGACAAAGGTATTTAACTTGTCATTTTGAAATAATCCATAATTTGAACATAATGCTTTGCAGTTTTCAAATTGCTTGGTCTTTTTGCCTCCTCTGAGATTCTGATTTCATTAAAACGGAGCGAAAATTCCAGAGTCACCCAATTACATTTTGACACCTAGAAATGAAAAGAAACCATCAAGGAAGCCTTCTTAAAAGTACTAAGGATCTGACCTTTGGTTCCAAAAAGTTAAAAAAAAAAAGTTTCACTTTCATCTCAAGGTCTCCATGGCTTGACAGAAATTTTCTCCACCTGTCATTTATCTCTCTCTTAAGTAAATTAAGTTATTGTTGTGACTGCTGAGGACTGTCATCCCTTCTTCTTTATAAGCATACGTCAGATCAGGATTTTTTAAAACTGGTTTTGTGTGACCTTATAGGTAGATGACAAATTTGAGGAAGTCCTTGGACAACGGGTACAGCATTCTGAGGACTCACTACGGAGTTCCTAGGAAATATATTTTTTCTACCATTTTTTTAGTTGGCTTTGCTTTACAAAATATTTTAAAAGTGTAAAGACAGGTAAAACATATTATCACATCAGAACATTATTGTATTTTATTTGACCATTTATAACGAATAGTGAAGCTTTCATTCAACATTAAAAAAGTATTTCTATGAATAAAAGTTAAGCTCTTAAAGTGGAAAGTAAAGTCTAAGGAAAATCTCTTTATTTCTTCAACCATCTAGGCACACCCACCCACACAGCAAGTGAGTTGTATATAGTTTCATATATATGTTTAATGTATGTATAACTATATATACAAATATACTTATCTAGTTCATATAGGCATATATGCAATATTTAATATATATGCATATATATACATACACATACATGATCAACCTTTTTCTTAGGATATTTAGAAGTTACTAAAAAAAGAGTAATGTGTCAATTTTTTGTCTGAGAGTAGATTATGAAGGAAATAATGGGAAAAAGGGAGGATGGGAAGCCAGCATACACCTGAGTAAGAAAGGGGCTGCTAATGACAAAGGAGGGAATTTAAAAAGTATTTCTCTACATATTTGATATTGTCTTTGGCTTATAGCCACTTGAGTATGAGCTGGTATCTCACTTTTTTAAAATTTCCTTAATAAACAAAGACTATTTCTTAACTAATTGTATAGTCTGTCTTCTACAACGGAATGTAAGCTCTTTGAGAAGAGGCCCATGCTTGTGCTGTTCTAGGAGGCTGCCTGTATTTAGAAGGCACTAAATAGTCATTTCATGATTCAATGAGTTTATATAATATACAGGTATGAAAGTCATTATATGAGTAATGTTGAATTCCCTGAATATTGTCTATGTTATATTCAGTGAATTAAAAGTATGTGCATAAAATATGTGCATGTTGATTTTATTTATAATTTGTAAAATTAAAAGGTTAATGATTATACTTATCCACATCACAAATTCTGTTGAATTCCTTTACAGGATACTAAAATTTGACTACTTGTAAGTTCCTCTGTTCCTTTATGTATCCTCCAAAACAATAGCATCCTGCAATCATACACGAGCCTTCAGACTTTAGTCTATTTCCTCAAGTCCATCATTACCAGATTCTTCAGTCAGGTTTCATTTGACATTGTTTCCTTATCTCTCACCATCCCTTTTTGCCACCTAAAAATCTCATCTTACATTATCAAAGAATTATGACATATAATAACCATTTATGGAAATAATACTCAGAAGATCATATTAGGACTAATAATAAAATATTAACTACAATTTATAAAATGTACTGTATTCAGTACACTACATGAAGTATTTTAGGTACATATGTGATACATTTTACAAGTACAAGTACTTGTATCTATAATTATCCCTGTTTTATTTTTTTAATGTTTATTTTTGAGAGAGAGAGAGAGCAGCAGAATGCAGGCAAGGGAAGATCAGAGAGAGAAGGAGACACAGAACCCAAAGCAGGATCCAGGCTCTGAGCTGTCAGCATGGAGTCTGATGAAGGGCTCAAACTCATAAATGGCGAAATCATGACCCAAGCAGAAGTCAGACACTTAACCGACTGAGCCACCTAGGAATCCCACATTATTCCTGTTATACAAATGAGAACAAGGAGATATAGGAAAGCAAGAAAATCATATGAGATCTAACAATAAGTGAAAGAATTTCAATTTTTATTCAAGTGTGTCTGATTCCAAGGCTCTTGGTCTCTTGACTTGAACACTGGGCTCATATTCTGGTATTCTGAACCTTTAGGATTTCAGGATATAGTCTTCTGTTGGGCTAAGGTAACATAGCCTCTTTATACATTAAGATTTTTTGCCAGATAATCAGATTGCCATTCTTAGCCCTGTTTGCAAAATCTGCAAAGATAAAACATGTTACTAAGAAAACCAATTTTAGAGCAGGTTGGTTAATGGCAGAACTCTAACAAGATCCTTTCTTAATCTGTGACCAGTACTTAGGTATCTCTAACATGTAAGAAAATTGGTTCCTGCAGAAGCCAGTAACAGAGAATCTTACTGTTAGAGGTAAATTTCCCCTTTTTCCAACTGTCTCAGAGTTACCTGTTTCAAAGATGTCCTGTTCACAGCCTCAAGTCTGGAGCCTAATTAGGCCAGGAGATATTCTATGGCCTTCTTGCCCCTAGGCATCTTGGTGGCCCTCTTCCCATTTGGGGACACAATGGCCTTGTTCCCAAGGAAGGCAATACATATCTTTCTCCCTGGCTCTAGGAAACCAAAGATATGACTTGGAAATAGCAAATCTAAGCCCCTTCTTCTTTTGATAGCAAAAGCTCTCTCATCTCTGGGGGCAAGTGCAGTGGGGCACCACAAGATAGGGGAGACTTTAACTCTTTGCCTGTCTCTGCAAGTCTGTAACTCAAGGCTGCCTCTTCTGCACTCTTGAGGTCTAGCTACATTCTGGTCTTTAAGCCTCAATTACTTTAAGGATATAAATATGGAAAGCACATGTAAAGCCGGCAAACATCTAAGAGATCAGTCTCAGAAATCCTCAGAGACTCTTGGCGAGAGGCACAAGAAAATTGAGTTCTTGTCTTTCAAATCAGTCTCAGAAATCCTCAGAGACTCTTGGCGAGAGGCACAAGAAAATTGAGTTCTTGTCTTTCAAGGGGGTTCAAGATCGCTGCAGAGTCAAGCACTCATAGAAAGAGAAGACACTATCCAGCCCTTTGGCTTCTACAATCAGTAACAGTTTCTCACAACACGTGAACTATGAGAGCTGGTACAAAAAATGTTAACATTAAGCAATCAATTACGTGTGTTTTCATGTACACCTGAGTTTCACATGGGTAGGAGCCTTTATTTAAAAAAAAAAAGTTTCTTGTGTGTGTCTTTATTTTGAAAGGGAGACAGATGGTGATCAGGAAGAAGGAAAGAAAGAGAGGAAGACACAGAATCCAAAGCAGGCTCCAGGCTCTGAGCTGTCAGCACAGATGCAGGGCTCAGACCCACAAACCGTGAGATCATGACCTGAGCTAAAGTCAGCTGTTTTAACTGACTGAGCCACCCAGGCACCCTAGGTAGCAGCTTTTAAAAGAAGATAACTTCCCACTCAATGACAGTTGAAATTTCCAGGAAACCTGCTTTAATTTTGAAATCTTAAGAAATATTTAGACTAAATATTCTCAGAAATAATTGCCTTGAGTAGCTATACATTTCTATAGACCACTAATTTTATTTTTTCCCTGGATAAAAATCTATATGGAAGCCAGTGCCTCAGTACTTTTCCAGGAACATCCCTGAGCTTTGATAAGCATTCTAATCAGTGGCAGGAGCCACCACCTGGGTTGAAATCAGATTTCTAGATAGGCTTTGATTTCCCACTTAGGGGGGACTTACAGATTATCCAGCAACGGCAGGCAGCTCCTCTGCGGTAGCCTCCACTCTCAGGCCTCTCTTTGCTTCTTTACAACTTTTTCTAGCCTAAAGGCTTTTAATATTCATTCACTACCATTTAATTTTCTATGTATGTATTATCTGAGGAGAAATAAAACATGTCTTTTACTTGCTTTTTCATCTACAGGAATGCCATTTGGACAGAGTGCTCTCTGTTTTCTCCAATCAAGATGTTAGCAGAGGCCAACCTGGCTCAGGTCAGCATACCAGACCCAGTAGCTTTCCATCCGTCACTGTGTTTCAGTCTGTTGCATCTCAGCTCTGTCCTTACAACCCTACCTCTCCTCTAAAGGGATCTGTGCCCCTCTCTCCCAGAACTCCCATTCCTTCCTTTCTCTTTTCTTTGTGCTCTGAACCTTCTTTCTCCTCTGTTCGATCATTAGTTATCTCAGCGGTTTCAGTTTTTCTTGCTGTTCATTTAAGACAGAGTGATTCCTGGGTATCTGTACCCAAACATCACTATTCTATTTCCTTGTTAAATTAGTATCTTTTCCCTTATTATTTACTGATGTCCTGGTGCCCCTGGAATAGTGAGAGTAGAAAGTGCTCTCTCAAGACAGGACCCATAGAACAAATGGGGAAAAGCTTCAGCTGATACACACTTAAAAGAAATTCTTAGGTTAAATTTCAGATCACCCTCAGTGTCTAAACTATAATGACTACAAAAGTGGTGAGAGTATATATACAATATATCAAGTTCTTCTATTTTATTTTACTCTTTAAGTTTGATCTTCATGCTACACTTTTTTTTTTTAGTGGAATATGTTTCAGTATTTAACTTAACCAGCAACTGGAGTGACTTACCCCAAGTCTCACAGCCATTATATGTATAAGAAGTGTTTATGCCGAAAGATGGTTTGGGATGCAAGGTGGGGGGGTGCTCTACATTCAAATCTTGAGGGACATTTCACTCTGTGTTTATCCAGGCATGCTTTATGATACCCAGATTTTATCTGAGGAATTACCTATCCAGAGTCCCATTTGAAATCAGAGCCATAGTTTCTTATCCCGTCCCTCATGGCATCTATAGCCCTTCTGATTCCCTTCGTCAATCTTTCTAGTCTCCTTCTCTCTCCACCTCATTTTTTAAATATCTTCTGCTTAATAGCATGCCTGTTTTGTACTCATGGTCCTAGTGAAGAACAGGAAATAGTAAAACCCTGTTTCAAGATAACCTTGATAAGTTCCTGAAAATGTTTCTTCCTTAGGTTAAACTGCACTGTCCTCAGTAATTTGCAAGGTATCTCCAGTATCCTAGGAAACCAGAGAACAGCAAGCTGAGAGTTTTACTTGGCCACTGAAAGCAGGGCAGGATCTCTATTGGAAGCAGTGGGTTTGCTGAACCCAGTTCAGAGCTGTTTCTGAATCCTCAAGCCCTTACCTTATTTCCTAATGATAGCCACCTTCTTTTCTCCTTCCTGTACGCTCCTCTCAGAAATGGAGATGGGGATGGTGACAGGGACACGAACTATCTGAAGTAAATCTTGCTCTCTTCAAACCTTTGAGCTGAGAGTAGCAGATGATGTGTTGTAGGGAGGGCGTTTCCACCTATGCCCTTTGCTCGATGTCGTCCTTTTCCATATAGGCCTCATCTGGGGACTGAAGATGTATAGCTCACTCAAGTAGCCAGCAGGGAGGGAACTGCCCCTCAGGACACCAGGAATCTCTCTTCTTGTGTATTAAATCCTCCCTGTAACTCCTCTGCATGGGATCTGTGTATTATACATTTTGTAGACAACTCCTCCCTTTAATGGTTAGATGGAGGGAAGATATGGGTATTATAGGACATAAAAAGAAGAATCAATCATCTCCACAATTATGGTGTTTTTTGATCAGGCTACCTCTAGGAGCTATAGCATGGGAATCATCTCGTACCCAAGTTAACTAAGAAAAAAATGGAGAACAAATTTTGTGTTCTCTCTCTCTCTCTCTCTCTCTCACACACACACACACACACACACACACACACACACACACAAGTATTGAATAGTTAGAAATTATTAGGTACCATGCTAGAGACTTGTATATTCAGACTTCAGCTTTGGTGAAAGCCTGGAATTGGCAGGGAAGATAAATATTTTCTTCTTTTATTATAACTACCATCTTTATTCCCACCATCACTGGTAGGAATCAAAAACACAGAGAGCCTTGTTGGCCAGACCACTCCTTTAGACTGGGTCAGAGACAATATGGTTTCTTATGAAAGCCCATGGAACTCTGATGTATGCTCCATTCTACCCCCTCCCCATACTTTCAACTCCCAGCATGACAGTTATCTTTGCCTATGACAGTTGAATACTCAGTCCTCTCTGCTTCCAGCAAGTTCTCTAGCTTCACCCACACCCCCCCCCCAAATCAATGTCTTTCTTTTGCCATTCCCCCTATTCCATCACATTCCCCATCTAATAGACTCATCAGGTAGGACATTTCTTTCCCTCTGAGAAAATAGCCTCATGACATTGATATGACCCAAAACCAGAATAAAATATATATCTTATATCTACCTACCTAGCTACAGTTTACCCCAGTGATACATAATTTCAGGTTTTACCATATTGGCTCTTATTGAAGATAATATTTCTTGATATCTAGGTTTGCTCCTGACCATTCTTTTAAAAGTCAAGATATTCTAATCTCACTTTAGGCAATAATTTTCTGGGTTGCATTTTCCTCTTAAGATTAGATGATTTCTCATGCTACTTTCCACTTTCCACATCATCACAGATGAGTAAAGGTGAAAAAGAAAATAAACCAACATAGAAGACAGCATCCTTCACTCAGGTAATAGTGAATACATGGCAAAATTACCTCATAAAATTGTGGTGGGCGTGGGGCTCCTACCAAGGAGTACCTTGGTTATTTGTCAGTTCTGTTTCCCTAGACATAACTGATCTCCTCTGAAAGGAAAATGATAACGTTAGCCTTTCTCCACTTAAGTGACTTGGTCTTCTATACTCTCTTTCTCCTCATTGAAAGCATATCTCAATCTGTCCCCATCTCTGCCCAAGAAAGGATGCCCCAAAACTTACTTCCAGACAGCAGGAAGCTTCTCTGATATCCTCAACTTTCAGATGCTTCTCCATTCAAAAGCATTTCATTGCAGCTGGCTTTTTAAGGCAGGGTACACTGATCCTTTATCTAATCTGTTAACAGTGCTCAGATAGGTGGCTGACCACAGTTCTTTTTCCAATCCTCTAAGACACCATGGGTGCCCCAATTTCCAGTCATCCTTTACTCTAGATGGCAGTTGGGGCAGTTGGAATATTGCCAAGGGTCCAGGAGCTTTCTTTACCTCATCAGTTACTCCTCAGGATTCTGCCATCCCAGATTAAGTTTACATAAACCAACCAACTGCCTCTGAAAGATATTTTCTTAAAGGAAATGCTCACTCTTAATCACATGCTTAACTATATCTGTATTTGCACATGCATGAATTTTTAAGCTTAAGGAAAAACTATCCTCTTGGTAAGAAATACCCTAAACCTTTCTATCTTCCTGCATGTCACTTAAGGGAACAACCCCTCACTAAATAACATAACTTTTCCAGTCACCAAAATGAAATGAGTGACACAACTGTTTTTCATTTATATGATTATAGTAAGAGAAGAACTTATTTTTGTAAACACTACTATACTATTGCACCAACAGTACTATATTGAAAAAAGATTTTATTAAAATCCCATCATATTCACAAGCCACTCTCATTATTTTTTATCTCTTCCCATTTTTATCCTAAAAAGGAGATATTTGTGTATATTTTAAGTAGCATATGTGAAATTTTAAAGCCTTCATTTCTTTATGTTACACCTTCATGTCATGACAATATTCCAAGTTTCAATGATTTGAGTGAAAAGTATTTTTCAATATGAGAAACATTATGATGTTTATATTCCATGTTAGTTTTCTTTTCTTCACTATATTCTTCAGCTCAGTCCTCAGAAACTACATCATGAGAGTTTGAATATTTTAATAACCCCAAAACATCTCACCCACAACTCTAAACATTTATTGCAGCTCTCATAGCTCATGAAATCAAGCCCCGTGTCAGGCTCAGCACTGAGCATGGAGGCTGCTTAAGGTTCTCTTTCTCCCTTCCTCTCTTCCCTCTCTCTCTTTCTCTAAAAAAGATATAGAGTATATGTATAACAATTCCCATTGTGTAGTGCAGTGAGAAGGAAAATTAATGAGGGTTCCCAAGGTAAAAATGGTAAAATTATTTTTCTTATTTTTTAACTAGTAATAAAATTTAATTTTAATTTTAATTTTTTGTTTCAAATTTTTATTCAAATTCTAGTGAGTTAGCACATAGGGTAATAATTGGTTTCAGGAGTAGAACTTAGTGATTTATCACTTACATACAACACCCAGTACTCTTCACAACAAATCCCCTCCTTAATGCCCATCATCCATTTAGTCCATCCCCCACCCACTTCCCCTCCATCAACCCTCAGTTTGTTCTCTATAGTTAAGAGACTCTGATGGTTCACTTGCCTCACATTTTTTTTCTCATCCCCTACATTCATCTGTTTTATATTTTAATTGCCACATGAGTGAAATATGGTATTTGTCTTTCTCTCACTGACTTATTTCACTTAGCCTAATACTCTCTAGCTCGCTCCATCCACATCATCGCAATTGACAAGATTTCATTCTTTTTGATGGCTGGATAACATTCCATTAAATACATACCACATCTTCTTTATCCATTCATCAGTCAGTGAACATTCTGGCTCTTTCTATAATTTGGCTATTGTCGATAGTGCTGCTATAAACATCAGGGTGCATGTGCCTCTTTGGATCAGTATTTTTGTATCCTTTGCATAAACACTGAGTAATGCAATTGTTGGATCAGAGGGTAGTTCTATTTTTAACTTTTTAAGGGACATCCATACTGTTTTCTAGAGTGGCTACACCAGTTTGCATTCTCACCAACAGTGTAAGAGGGTTTTCCTTTCTCCACATACTTGCCAACATACGCTGTATTCTGAAGTTGTTAATTTTAGCCATTCTGTCAGGTGTGAGGTGGTATCTCATCGTGCTTTTGATTTGTAGATACTAACTGTTTATCTGATATGTCATTTGTAAATATCTTCTCCAATTCCGTAGGTTGCCTTTTAGTTTAGTTAGTTGTTTCCTTTGCTGTGCAGAAGTTTTTATCTTGATGAAGTCCCAATAGCTCATTTTTGCTTTTGTTTCCCTTAGAAAAATTATTTTTCAAATCCCTAGGTTAAGGCTCCAACTTGTTCTAAAGAAGAGCATGTGACTATTTAGTCAAACTGTTTTTACTGAACTTTCCACATGTTTTATCTTACAAAATCAGCAATTCCCAAACTAATATCTAAGTGTCAGTTTGAAAACACAATCCTCTCCTCAGATCTTACCTTTGGTCTAAAGAAGAAAGCAAAACGTTAAAACTATCTTTTATCATGGAAACCACTAGACAACTTCACAACTTTATTTCATAAAATATTTGAAAGTAAGAGAACATGCTTCTAAAAGTAAATATACAATATTTTTAGAATATATATCTATATCCATATATATCGATATCTCATCTTTACAATATAGGAAGATTCAAACATATATAGACAATGCCTGTCATAATGTCACAACAAACCACTCTTCTTGAACTTGCAAAATGAAGAACTATCTGATCTCTAGAGTAGAGGGGAATGAGTCAAGTTCAGCTTGGCTCAATAGCAAAGCCATTGTATAACAAGACAAAATTAATTTTAAGAAAGTCACTTGTTTCTCACATTTATCTCCCACCCCAACCCCTCTTCAACCTCGTAGTTTTATAAGGCAATCAGACAACCATGTTTACATTTCAGGAACCACAGCCTTTTTTTAAGTTTTTATTTAAATTCCAGTTAGTTAACATATAGCGTAATATTGGTTTCAGGGTTACGATACAGTGATTCAACACTTAGGAACTACAGTCTTAAAAAAAAACACTAAACAAAGCTTTCAGAAGTGGGGTTTCACCTAAACTTTATGAGTGATGTGTCCATAGGCAGCACTACTTTCCTTCCTTAGAACTAATGGAAACAGATTAAGAAAAGTAGAAAGAGAAGGAAAACGAGATTGTCTCTTTTCCCAGTTAAAAAGTGACTGGTGTGAAGTCGTGGCACCAAGAAAAATAATGGACTAAGTTATGGTGTTCTTTACTTACATAACAACTGTTCATATATTTATATAGTCGTATCTATGATTCCTCTAAGGGACGTTATTAGTTCCCATAAGGTAGTATAAACTGTTAAAGATGTTGGCTGGTGCTGAATGGAAGATGAGGACTAGAACTACGCAGGTAAGAACCCTTGAACTAATACTTAAAACTTGAATTTCAGAGAGGAGAGAATGGGTGAAACCAGGTTAGTTCAGATCTCTGCTTTTGAATACTGGTCTTGGGATTTGAACTTAAATGACATCCATCTTTCTAGGAGTGCTATGGTAAGTAACAATAAAATGCTGTTTTAGGGTTCAATTCTAAATTTTGAAATTTTTTATCCCTTAGTATGGACACAGTTTTGAGGGAATTTGCAAAACAGCATACCTTACCATTTTGCTGCATTTTCCAGTTAGTGGACTCAGGGCACTCATAGAATAAGTGCCATACACATGAAAATGATGAAGGAAGAAAAAAATAAGAAAAGTGGCAATATTTAAAATTAAAGGTGAGGTTTTTTTTTTTCCTTTAGACTATTTCCAGCTTTGCTTAAGGTAATATGCCCAGACTTTTTAATTTCACCTGTAAAATGTTTTTGTACCCTCTTCTTATTGCCCCCTTCTTTGCATAAAGGCTCTATAAAATACACATTACTGTCAATATATCCTTTCTTTAAAACCACTAATAATTCTTTGTAATTATCTGATTTCATCTTATGTATTGATTTCTCTGCATATTCATGAATGTATGTATAGGCCACTTAAATCTTCATTTTCTCTCCTCATTCATGTCTATTTTCTATTATTTTTGTAAACTATTTTCTTCCTGTACAAGAGAAGAAATATCCAAATGATTTGTCACGCTTTTTTTTTCCTTCTGAAAAGGACAAATAAAATTATTTTAAATTTTAAAAAAGGAAAGTAGCCCAATTGCTTGGAAAGTGATGAATTATATTTAGTAATCAGCAATATCAACTGATGGGTCTGAATTGAACCTATGTTATTATTATAGAAATCAAATTGAGTGTGTTGTACTCCCTGCACAGAGGCAGGATGGATCCCATAATTGGCTGGATGTTAAGACTGAGAATGTCACACATGCACCAAGAGTAGAAGAAAATGTTTTCAGGGTGCCCGAATGGCTCAGTCTGTTGAGTATCAGACTCTTGATTTGAGCTCAGGTCATGATCCCCAGATCATGGGATTGACCATGATCCATACTGACCATGGAGACTGCTTAAGATTCTCTTTCTCTCTCCCTCTGCCCCTTTCCCTTGCTTGTGTGCTCTCTCTCTCTCTCTCTCATCCTCAAACTAGGAAGGAAGGAGGGAAGGAAGGGAGGGACAATGATTTTACCCAAGCACCTCCAAATATGGCTTGAGACAAGGTAAAGGCAACTGGCTTGGGGTGTTACATGTTACAGTGACTAGGGACACAGCTGGGTTAATGTTTGGGATGGGGCTGGGGTTGCATAGCATTCCTTCTCCTACAGGAGAGGACACTTCACCTCTCTTTCAGATGGCCCAGACAGAAAAGGGGAGTAGTGGGGCCTGAAATCTGTCAGCAGTCAAATGTCACACAAGGAATGGGGATCTTTATTACAAGTGACAAGAAGATTACTAAAGAGACTTTGAGAATGGAAAAAGCTATAGAAATTTATGGACAATGGGGCACCTGGGTGGCTCAGTCAGAGACTCTTGATTTTGGCTCAGGTCATGATCTCACGGTTCTCAAGATGGAGTCCTGTATTAGGCTGTCACCCCAGAGCCTGCTTGGGATTCTCTCTCCCTCTCTGCTCCTCCTCTTCCTCTCACTCTCTTTCTCAAAATAAACACTAAAAAAAAATTTATGAACAAATAAAATAAATTGGCATTGAGTTCAATGGTTACATGTGATTGATTACATATCACCCTTTCAATATTTTATAATTGTCTTCTTTATATATTTAAGATATAGATGTGAAGGTTATTAAAGCTACTAAAGAGGCATCTCCACTCTTAATTATCATGGCTCATTAACTCACATGACTGGTTGCATAGTGTCTTTTTACTCACTTATCACTGAAGGATCAATGAGAATAAAATACTCAGAGGAAAAAAATTCAGTTGGGAACATGTGCTATATTAAAATATGACTTGTGTCTGCTTCTAAAGGGCTATCCTTACACTAGATAGCAGTTTAGTAACGAGAAGAGCCATACCGTATTAATATATGAGTTAGAAAGTAGTAAATTAAAAGTGCTGGGAGAATTTGTTAGAGCATGAAAAGGGGAAAAAACTTCTTAGATTCGTACCTCATATTAACGGTGATGGTGATTCCAGATTGAGTATAAATGTAATTTTTAAAAGCTTCAAAGCTGAGACTATTCAGCTAACATAAACAGAAAATATGACATCCCAGCTTAGAAATCAGCACCCTGGGAGATGGCAGACTTGACTACATGAAAACACCACCTGTGCTAGTAGTAGTACTGGTGATAACGATGAAAATAACAATAAAACTCCCATTTATCTATTTACTTAATAGGTAATGGAGATTAAGATAGAGTTACAAATTTTCAGGTATAAAAAGTCACGGAGATGAAAAGTACAGCATAGGGAATATAGTCAATATACTGACTACACATACATATGTGTATGTTATGCTGTAAGAATACAGTCAATATATTTTTTTTTTAATATTTTATTTATTTCTAGGACAGAGAGAGAGAGAGAGACAGTGTGAGCAGGGGAGGGTCAGAGAGAGAGGGAGTCACAGGAATATAGTCAATATATTGACCACATGTGCATATGTATATGTTATACTGTAATAAGACTGTAAGGTGACACATGTTGAGTACATACATCATGGTGTGTGCTGAGCAATGTATAGAACTGTCAAATCACCATGTTGTGCACCTGAAACTAACATAACATTCTATGTCAACTATACCTCAATGACAAAAAATAAGACTAAATCTCCCACATCAAGAGGTAGTTGTAATTAAAGAAAAATAACAAACTGCAAAATGTGTACAATTAACATTTTAGGTACTTAGAGCTTAAAGTTTATAATAAGAAGACATCGGTAGCTGATTAGACAAAGAAAAATTATAAACCATTTTAAATGAAGAAACAAAAAAAATAAGAGGAGACATGATGATCTCAATAGAGAAAATAGAAATGCAAAAGAGAGAGAAAATACTGGCACAGCAGTTTGCAACTACAGTAAGTGGAAAAAATTATATAATACTCTATCCAGAGAAATGAAAAGAGATGGACACCCTCATGTGCTGCTATTAGAAACATGAACAGGGACATCTGAAGAAGCAAGTTACCAAAATACCCCCAGAGCTTCAAAATCTATACTCATTTAGTCCCAGTGAATTTGACTTCTGGTAATAATTTAGGGTTAAATAAAACACAAATCTAGAATAAAATAACTTCATGAACAAATATGCAAGTTATTTATAATGCAACTTCTTATGAAAGATATGCATTAACATCCAATATTGGGTAAAAAGCAAATGCTTTTTAAAAATCTAACACATATCCATTACATGGAATGCAATGTCTGTATTAAAATAGCTGTTATGAAATTATACAATAACATGAGAATTTTTATCATAGATTTCTTAAATGAAGTACACATTTGAACATTAAGGATGATTATTAGAATGTCGACTCCCCAAAATGATGGAGGATGTTGTCACTGTTGCTATTGTCATTGTAGCCAACTGCCAAATCCCCATCATATAAAACAGAGCCTGGCAACCAGGCTGGCATTCAACATATATTTACTTAATTAATTACAAAGATGTTCTGCATAGCTTTAGCCTATGGAAATAGACCAAAATATTATCTACCATCATCAGTGTGTAATGAGGTTTTGGACATTGTCTTTCTCCATAACTGCCTATCAGAACCTTTTAAAATTGATTTGTGAAAATAAAATTACTTTTGAAAATAAGGTAGGAGAAGAAGGGGATGGAACCAATGTGCCTTCCACCTTCATACTGTGAGCCAAATGTCCCGAGGTTTACATGGGTTAGGGAGTGCCAAGCACATACACAAAGGCAATGGTCCTGGGTTGGCAGAGAGGAAACACAATATTCATTACGCTAGTCATGATTTTAATTATTAGACACCAACAGAAATTTCCAGGAGGGGGACCAATACAGTCCCACCGGAACAGATACCAGTCACTGTGAACTTGAATACAGATGTCAGGGCTGGGCAAGGGACCACTTCAATCCCCTGGCATAAGGCCATTTAGGACTACTCCCTTTTGGGACTGGAGTAGGGAGAAGAAGATACAGAAGAAATCTTGGAAACTGATTCATCCCTAAAAGCCTGCAAAAATTATCATAGTGGAATGGGTTTACTAAGTTGGACAAACACAGTTAGCTGCATTGTCCAACTAATATGTAGATAAAGGTTTTACAAGAAACATAATGATCATTTATAGAAAAAATACATAAAGATGTGCTTTATTTACAACCTTTAATATGAGAAAATCTGTGACCCTGCTATTCAGGAGGTGTTTTTTTATCATATGATTCCAATACCTCCAGTTATATAACTATGAATAATATCTCTACAAATTTAAATTTAAAAGTTGTTTTAAATAGTCTTATGTAATGAGAGGGATGAAATATTGTGTTTGTAGCTGGTTAAAGAAGAGAAAGACTATGGCTATCAGGCCTTCTTTGTGAAAGGACATAATCAATTTTCCTGCAGCAGGCATTTCCACATGCCAGGGTTGGGACTGAATGCATAAATACTACATATCAGTCTTCAGTTTCTATGCTTGGACCAGACAGGCTCATAATTTTTCAGAGATACAGACATTTTTGATTTGAGTCTTACTCTAAATAAAAGAAGTCCAAATTTACCAAAGGGTATGATCTGGAAACTCAGTATTTTTTAAGGATGGCATGGACTATTATCAGGGAGAATGAGTGTCCTCCCTTATGATGCCATCAAGAACAGACTGTGCAAATTCTTAGTGGAAATATGCAAGGAATTCATGCATGACAGGTCTGGTTACATCTGGATCAACTAGTGATCTTATGATTCTATATTTATGTCCTATTGGCTTTATTTAGTTTAGAACTTAACTCTATCAAACTAAGCATTTTTAAATATCTCAATTTTAGCACTAAAATTTTCGGGAAATTTGGATTTCATGAAAATGAGATGATTATGCCACATTTTTATAAATAAAAAAGTGTATGTATGTGTTTGTGTTTGTGAGATTGTGTGTGTGTGTATGCTTGTGTGAGGTATAACAAAGGGAAATACTAT